GATACACACTGATACACACTGATACACACTGATACACACTGACACACACTGATACACACTGACACACACTAATACACACTGACACACTGATACACACTGACACACACTGATACACACTGAAACACACATGACACACTGACACACTGATACACACTAATACACACTGACACACACTGACACACACTGATACACACTGATACACACTGACACACACTGACACACACTGATACACACTGACACACACTGACACACACTGACACACACTGATACACACACTGACACACACTGACACACTGACACACTGATACACACTGACACACACTGACACACACTGACACACACTGACACACACTGATACACACTGACACACACTGACACACACTGATACACACTGACACACACTGATACACACTGACACACACTGACACACACTGACACACTGACACACTGACACACACTGACACACACTGATACACACACTGACACACACTGATACACACTGACACACACTGATACACACACTGACACACTGATACACACACTGACACACACTGATACACACTGACACTCACTGACACACACTGATACACACACTGACACACACTGATACACACTGACACACACTGACACACTGACTGACACACACTGATACACACTGACACACACTGATACACACTGACACACTGATACACACACTGACACACACTGACACACACTGATACACACTAATACACACTGACACACACTGATACACACACTGACACACACTGACACACACTGATACACACTGACACACACTGATACACACACTGACACACACTGATACACACACTGACACACACTGATACACACTGACACACACTGATACACACTAATACACACTGATACACACTGACACACACTGATACACACACTGACACACTGATACACACACTGACACACACTGATACACACTGACACACACTGATACACACACTGACACACACTGATACACACTGACACACTAATACACTGATACACACTGACACACACTGATACACACTGACTAATACACACTGATACACACTGACACACACTGATACCACTGACACACACTGATACACACTGACACACTAATACACACTGATACACACTGACACACACTGACACACACTGATACACACTGACACACACTGATACACACTGACACACACTAATACACACTGACACACTAATACACACTGACACACACTGATACACACTGACACACACTGATACACACTGACACACACTGACACACACTGATACACACTGACCACACTGATACACACTGATACACACTGATACACACACTGACACACACTGATACACACTGACACACACTAATACACACTGACACACACTGATACACACTAATACACACTGACACACACTGACACACACTGATACACACTGATACACACTGACACACACTGATACACACTGACACACACTGACACACACTGATACACACTGATACACACTGATACACACACTGACACACACTGATACACACTGACACACACTGACACACACTGACACACACTGATACACACTAATACACACTGACACACACTGACACACTGATACACACTAATACACACTGACACACACTGACACACACTGATACACACTGACACACACTGACACACACTGACACACTGATACACACACTGACACACACTGATACACACTGACACACTGATACACACTGACACACACTGATACACACACTGACACACACTGATACACACTGACACACACTGATACACACACTGACACACACTGATACACACACTGACACACACTGATACACACTCTGACACACACTGATACACACACTGACACACACTGATACACACTGACACACTGATACACACACTGACACACACTGATACACACTGACACACACTGATACACACTGACACACTGATACACACTGACACACACTGATACACACACTGACACACACTGACACACACTGATACACACACTGACACACACTGACACACACTAATACACACTGACACACACTGATACACACTGACACACACTGACACACACTGATACACACTGACACACACTGACACACACTGATACACACTGACACACTGACACACACTGATACACACTGATACACACTGATACACACTGACACACACTAATACACACTGACACACACTGATACACACTGATACACACTGACACACACTGACACACACTGATACACACTGACACACTAATACACACTGATACACACTGACACACACACTGATACACACTGACACACTAATACACACTGATACACACTGACACACACTGATACACACTGACACACACTGATACACACTGACACACACTGACAATGACACACACACTGACACACACTGACACACTAATACACACTGATACACACTGACACACACACTGATACACACTGACACACTATACACACTGATACACACTGACACACACACTGATACTCACTGACACACACTAATACACACTGACACACTGACACACACTGATACACACACTGACACACACTGATACACACACTGACACACACTGACACACACTGATACACACTGATACACACACTGATACACACACTGATACACACTGACACACTGACACACACTGATACACACTGACACACACTGATACACTGATACACACTGACACACTAATACACACTGACACACACTGATACACACTGATACACACACTGACACACACTGATACACACTGATACACACTGACACACACTAATACACACTGACACACACTGATACACACACTGATACACACTGACACACACTAATACACACTGACACACACTGATACACACTGATACACACACTGACACACACTGATACACACTGATACACACTGACACACACTGACACACACTGATACACACTGATACACACTGATACACACTGACACACACTGATACACACTGATACACACTGATACACACTGATACACACTGACACACACTGACACACACTGATACACACTGATACACACTGACACACACTGACACACACTGATACACACTGACACACACTGATACACACTGATACACACTGATACACACTGATACACACACTGACACACACTGACACACACTGATACACACTGATACACTGACACACACTGACACACACTGATACACACTGATACACACTGACACACACTGACACACTGATACACACTGATACACACTGATACACACACTGATACACACTGACACACACTAATACACACTGATACACACACACTGATACACACTGACACACACTAATACACTGATACACACACTGATACACACTGACACACACTAATACACACTGACACTAATAACACACTGACACACACTGACACACACTGATACACACTGACACACACTGACACACACTGATACACACACTGACACACACTGACACACACTGATACACACACTGATACACACTGATACACACACTGATACACACTGATACACACACTGACACACACTGATACACACACTGACACACACTGACACACACTGATACACACTGATACACACACTGATACACACTGATACACACTGATACACACACTGACACACACTGACACACACTGATACACACTGATACACACTGATACACACACTGATACACACTGATACACACACTGATACACACTGATACACACACTGACACACACTGATACACACACTGACACACACTGACACACACACTGATACACACTGATACACACACTGACACACACTGATACACACACTGACACACTGATACACACTGATACACACTGATACACACTGATACACACACTGACACACACTGATACACACTGATACACACTGATACACACTGATACACACACTGACACACACTGATACACACACTGACACACACTGATACACACTGATACACACTGATACACACACTGACACACACTGATACACACTGACACACACTGATACACACACTGACACACACTGACACACACTGATACACACTGATACACACACTGACACACACTGATACACACACTGATACACACTGATACACACTGATACACACACTGACACACACTGATACACACTGACACACACTGATACACACTGATACACACTGACACACACTGATACACACTGATACACACACTGACACACACTGATACACACTGACACACACTGACACACACTGATACACACACTGACACACTGATACACACTGACACACACTGATACACACACTGATACACACACTGATACACACACTGACACACACTGACACACTGATACACACTAATACACACTGACACACACTGATACACACTGACACACACTGATACACACTGACACACACTGATACACACACTGACACACACTGATACACACACTGACACACACTGATACACACTGATACACACTAATACACACTGACACACACTGATACACACTGACACACACTGATACACACTAATACACACTAATACACACTGATACACACTGACACACACTGATACACACACTGACACACACTGATACACTGACACACACTGACACACACTGACACACTGATACACACTAATACACACTGACACACACTGACACACACTGACACACTGATACACACTGATACACACTGACACACTGATACACACTGATACACACTGATACACACACTGATACACACTGACACACACTAATACACACTGACACACTAATACACACTGACACACACTGACACACACACTGATACACACACTGACACACACTGATACACACTGATACTCACTGACACACACTGATACACACTGACACACACTGATACACACTGACACACACTGACACACACTGATACACACACTGACACACACTGACACACACTGATACACACACTGACACACACTGATACACACTGACACACACTGACACACACTGATACACACACTGATACACACACACTGAGAGCTGCAGCAGAGTAACCCCGCCCCCATTCTCCTCCAAGGCGTCCCGGTTGGCCGACGTCTCCAGACTGCAGGATGACATCATCAAGGTGAGTCCTGGCTGGAGCGAGTCACCTGGAGGTCAGGAGGTCACAATAAGTGAGGACTGCTGTTTGTGTTGCAGCTGACGGACAAGATCAAGAAGAAGCAGGAGAGGTGAGGAGCTGCGGGGCAAAGAGGGCAACAAGCCCCCTTATTGCCCTGCGACTAGGTTAGCTTCACATTGTGGGAACTGATGGGTATTTTCTCAACCTACATAAAAAGAACCAGAGACAACGTTAATTTGAATCAATTCTTCTGCAGAAGACGCAGAAGAGCTTGGTCTTCCTGCTCTGCTGTCACAGCTGGTCTTTCATTGAATGAAAGGGGATCCTGATAAGGAATCGGGGGCACAGGATGCAAACAGTTTTACGACTGAGCTCCAAAAACTAACCTTTATAGGAAGCACAAACTGGTAACTACTTATGTAAGAATGATTACACAAGTTATGATCAATAATTTCTCCTGCTGTTCAGATTATTAGAAACATTGAAACGTTTTAATCTGCACAAAGTCCAAATAGATCAGCTCCAGTTTCAGAAACACGAATGCTTCTCGTTCATCTGTGTCAGAGTTCATGACCCTGATGAACTCTGGTGGTCATCATCATCATCATCACCACCGTGTCTGAGCAGTAATGCTTCAAGACTTTTGTTGTCCAGCAGGGGGCAGCCAAGCTCCAGAACCCAGAAATGAACTGAACTGAGCTTCTCTTCCTGAAGTTGCTCTGTGGTTGCTGAAGTTGCTATAACTGTTGCGTTGCCTTGCAGCTTCCAGCGCCTGCAGACGGAGAAGGAGGCTCTGTACAACGACAGCAGGTCAGAACCGGAGCAGTGCCTGATGGGAGAGTGTTCTCTGGATCAGTGGCGTCATTTCCTGTTGACTTTCTTTGATGACATCATCATGAATTCCTGTGAAAGCTGAGCGTTAAATCTGCATATTAATTAATTTGCTCATTTATTTAATATTAATGAGCATTCATTGTTTTTATATTCTCTGCCTTAGAAGGAAGCGTCCAATCAGAACACAGTATTCTCTAAAAACGGGTCAAAGTCACATAAACTGAGCCCAGTTTACAGAACCGGGACCACCCAACCCAGATTAAACGGAATAACAGAACCGGTCCGACCCGCTGTGTCTGTGTTCAGGACGAAGATCAAAGAGATCAACCAGAGGAGAGAAGAAGAAGTGAAGGCGGCCAACCTGCGGCTGCAGAAGCTGCAGTCAGACCTGACAGCAACCAATCAGGTGAGAGCGCCGACTGTGACATCATCAGCGACTTTATCAACCCATCTGTTAGCACCAAACGGTTAGCACCAAACGGCCTCCATGTTTGTTCAGGCGGCAGCGGAGCTGAAGGAGCAGCTGGAGAGCAAAGAGACACAGCACCAGGAGGCTGTGCAGGCCCTGAAGGACCAGGTAACTACCCCCCCACCCCCCCAAGACTCCAGGTCACTACCCCCCCCCCCCCCCCAAGACTCCAGGGAACTGTACCCCTGTCTGCCTTTCTGCTTTTGTCCCTCGTCAATAATTTCTCTCCGCTTTTGTGGAGGAACTGAACCCGGTTCTGGTTCTGCTTTCTGTCTGCACTCACTCTTCTTTTCCTTTCCTTGGCTTCCCTCTCTCTGCTGCCCCCTGCCTGCGGTACTGCAGGCAGCCAATCAGAGCGCGCTCAGTCAGGAGCAGGTGGACGGCGTCCTGCAGGAGAACGATGCTCTGAGGACGAACCTGGCCGCTCTGGAACAGGTAACAGAGCGCCACCCGCAGGAACACCGCCGTCACTGCAGAACGCCCAGAACCCTCCGTCCTCCATCCAGCGGCCCGGTTCCTGCAGAACCTTCAGGGTACTGACCGCTGCTGACCTGTGTCCAGATCCAGACGTCCAAGACGCAGGAGCTGAACCTGCTGCGGGAACAGCAGGAGGCGCTGGTGGCGGAGCTGCAGCAGAGGAGGGCGGAGCAGGAGGGCCTGCTGGCCCAGAGGGACGACCTCAGCTCCCAGCTGCAGGTAGCGTCCGGCAGGTTCTGACCCCTGCCGCTAACAGGCTCCTCACGACTGACCCGACCCGCTGCTGTTCCCCCGCAGGAGTCCAGCTTCGCCAACAGGAAGCTGCTGGAGCAGCTGGCAGAGGAGACGCAGGAGAAGGAGCAGCTGCTGGGGGAGCTGGAGGAGACCAGGAAGGTAGGAAAGACACACACGCTACACACACGCTACACACACGCTGCACACATGCTGCACACACGCTACACACACGCTGCACACACGCTGCACACACGCTACACACACGCTACACACACGCTACACACACGCTGCACACACGCTGCACACACGCTACACACACGCTGCATTGATCCCCAGACGGCGGAGAAGCGGAAGTCCATGTTGGATGACTTGGCATCTCAGCTGAACCAGGAGAAGTCTGACCACAAGGAGGCGCTGTCTGACCTCAGGCTACAGCATGAGAAGGAGGTGAGAGCAGAGCTGCAGGTTTCTGGCCTCTAAGGTACCGGGGAGGTCCAAACATTACTTTGACTGGGCCGTCTGAAGCTGATTGGTGCGTCTCACCCCTCAGGTCCTCGGGGTGAGAGCTCGCTACGAGAAGGAACTGCGGGTTCTGCACGAGGAGAAGAACCGCTCCGAGGAGGAGATACGGCTGCAGCTCAAGGAGGAGAAGGTTCTGGTTCTGGTTCCGGAGCAGCGGACCAGTCCGGGCCGGAATCTGACGACCGGTTTGTGTTTCAGGCCGGACCAGAGAGCTGCAGGGTCTGCAGCAGCAGCTGGAGGAGCTGCAGCAGCAGCTCCAGGCCATGGAGGGAACCAGGGGCTGGTTCGAGAGGCGGCTGAAGGAGGCCGAGGTGGGTCCAGCTCCGGCCTGGAACCGGTACTGGTGGGCTTGGCTAGCAGAACCGCGGCCTGATTGCTGTCTGTGTGTGAGCAGGAGAACCTGGAGACGAACAGCGAGCGGCACCGGCAGGATGTCCAGATGCTGCAGGAGGAACACAGCCAGCAGCTGCAGGTAGCTGGAGGTCAGGGTCAGGGCCGGTTTTCTCTGGGGCAACAGGGAGCATCACTGGTGGAGTAACAGTCACTAACACAAGAAGGTCAGAGGTCGGTGTCTGATCTTATTTGAATAAATCAGAGCGCTGCTGTCGACCAGTGGGGGGCGCAGCAGCTCTCCCAGCCTAACGGTGGCCTTTGGACTAGACCTTTTCTGAGCCCTTCCAGATCAGTGGAACAGGAATAATTCTGTGTTTGCGTGCTGATTAGACGCACTTCTCGTTAGAGTTGCCGTCTCCCTGGCAACAGAGAGGTTAAACTGTTCCAACAGCCAATCAGAGCAGGAGTTTCCCTCCATCTGTCAGATCCTGCTGCAGTGGCGGCCAGCAGGGGGCGATGCTGCCGAGAAACCAGACTCTTCTGACACCTGATGAGTCGGATTGGGCCATCAGAAGGACGGTCATTAGAAGGTCCATGTTGCTCCCAGAACCACTATGGAGGTTCTGGATGACCCGGTCTAACAGAACATGGACTGAGTTCAGCTGGATGTCTTTTTTTCACACCTGGACGTAGATGGTGGTTCCGGGTGGGCTCTGGATGGATTCTGAGTGGGTCCTGGGGTGGCTCTGGATGGTTCTGTTCTGCGGTTTTTCTTTAATCGGTTTAATTAAGGGAATGAAATCCTGGCGGTTTATTTATGTCAGGTGTTTATTCCCTGTAGGAGAAACGAGCTGAGATGGAGGGATGGAGGCTGCAGCTGATGGAGGTGGAGAAAGAGAGAGATGGAGACAGAGAGACCATCAGGAAGCTCAGACAGGTGAGGTGTTCGTTGTCAGGTTCTCACCGACTGCATGCTAAGCTACTGAAGCAGCCAGCAGCTTCAGCAGCGCCGGCGCCATTTCCACACTATTCCACTAGGAGGCGCAGTTGAGGCGCTTTTCCATTGGCAGTGCCCACCAACCGGTTCGGTTCTGCCCGGGTCGTTAGCTTTTCCATTATGTCCTCTGTTCCTATTGTTGAGAGGGACACAGCGGCTGCTGTGGTCAACTCTCTGCTGCAGCGACACTCGGTATCGGAGAACCTCCAGGTTCTGGTTCCGATGGACCCAAATAAGCCCTGATGTTTAACAATCTTATAGAAATTCATTGCTGGGGGCGTACTGTGGTGGCACAGGGCGTTGGCCCACCCCACGTACTGTCAAACATACGAGCCGCAAGTGCCGCAACAACTCTTCAGAGAAAAAAAATGATTAAAATAAAAAAATTCATGATGATGGCGACTCAGATCAGTTGATTATTTCACCGAGCTTGTAAATATTATTACATCCTTATGGATTTAGGCAATGCAGTCAAAACATGAGAGAAAGACACGTTTCTCTTTCATCTGTGTTTTGGCACAGCTAGCAGTTAGCAGCTAGCATCTACTGACGAGCAGTTAGCAGCTAGCATCTACCGACAAGCTGTTAGCGGCTAGCATCTATCGACGAGCAGTTAGCGGCTAGCATCTACCGACTAGCAGTTAGCAGCTAGCATCTACCGACTAGCAGTTAGCAGCTAGCATTTACCGACTAGCAGTTAGCATCTACCGACTAGCAGTTAGCGGCTAGCATCTACCGACGAGCAGTTAGCAGCTAGCATCTACCACTGAGCTGTTAGCGGCTAGCATCTACCGACCAGCAGTTAGCAGCTAGCATCTACCGACTAGCAGTTAGCAGCTAGCATCTACCGACTACCAGTTAGCAGCTAGCATCTACCGACGCAGTTAGCAGCCAGCATCTACCGACGAGCAGTTAGCAGCTAGCATCTACAACCGAGCTGTTAGCGGCTAGCATCTACCGACCAGCAGTTAGCGGCTAGCATGTACCGACGAGCAGTTAGCGGCTAGCATCTACCGACAAGCAGTTAGCAGCTAGCATCTACCGACCAGCAGTTAGCGGCTAGCATCTACCACCGAGCTGTTAGCGGCTAGCATCTACCGACAAGCAGTTAGCAGCTAGCATCTACCGACCAGCATCTAGCATCTACCGACGAGCAGTTAGCAGCTAGCATCTACCGACGAGCAGTTAGCGGCTAGCATCTACCGATGAGCAGTTAGAGGCTAGCATCTACCGACAAAACAGTTAGCAGCTAGCATCTACTGACTAGCAGTTAGCAGCTAGCATCTACTGACTAGCAGTTAGCATCTACTGACTAGCAGTTAGCGGCTAGCATCTACCGACGAGCAGTTAGCAGCTAGCATCTACCGACGAGCAGTTAGCAGATAGCATCTACCACCGAGCTGTTAGCGGCTAGCATCTACCGACCAGCAGTTAGCGGCTAGCATCTACCGACTAGCAGTTAGCGGCTAGCATCTACCGACAAGCAGTTAGCAGCTAGCATCTACCGACCAGCAGTTAGCGGCTAGCATCTACCACCGAGCTGTTAGCGGCTAGCATCTACCGACCAGCAGTTAGCAGCTAGCATCTACCGACAAGCAGTTAGCAGCTAGCATCTACCGATGAGCAGTTAGCGGCTAGCATCTACCGACAAGCAGTTAGCAGCTAGCATCTACCGACCAGCAGCTAGCATCTACCGACGAGCTGTTAGCGGCTAGCATCTACCGACGAGCTGTTAGCGGCTAGCATCTACCGACGAGCTGTTAGCAGTTAGCTGTGATAAACATTGATCCAGGCAGAGCGGCTCTGACAGCAGCGGCACGTCCTCAGGAAACTTACGATCTGAACGCAACTCAAGGTTGTTTAGGATAAATCTCTAGCCAATCAGTGAATGCAGTCAGCAGCCAATCAGATGGTTTCTTTGCCGTGCCGAGATCAGTCCTGCTAGTTCTACTGGGTCCAGTCGTGGTCCTGGTCCATTCAGCCGGTCTTCCTGTTCCAGGAGCTGAAGGACACGGTGGACGGCCAGCGGATCCTGGAGAAGAAGGGCAGCTCTGCGGTGAGTCCCAGCCGGCCCGCAGCAGGTGAGAGTCGTGCGGCGCCGACTAACTCTGGGCGTCTCTGCAGCTGAAGGACCTGAAGCGGCAGCTGCAGCTGGAGAGGAGGCGGGCCGACAAGCTGCAGGAGCGGCTACAGGAGATCCTGACCAACAGCAGGACCAGGACAGGTAGACGCACCTGAGGCAGCGATGTCATTACCGACCGCACTCACTGGCCTCCAGAACCAGAACCAGGTGCGGCTGTATTAGTTCTGTCCAACTGTTTGTCCTTCAGGTCTGGAGGAGCTGGTCCTGTCTGAGATCAGCAGTCCCAGCCGCACCCAGCAGACCGGAGACTCGTCCTCTGTGTCGTCGTTCTCCTACAGAGACGTGATGAAGGACGCGCAGCCGGCCAACCAGAACCGGGTGGGTCAACTTCTTCAGCTTCAGCGTCTTTTACCAAAACTTTCTGAGCCGCTGACAAAATCCATGTTGAAACTCGTATCGTCTGAGCTTCTGAAGAAACTCACGGGCTCCTGTAGCAGTCAGTACTACAGCGGCTCTGAGAAAGCCTGACTACAGGTCCACAGTAACATGCTGCCTGCTCCTGATTGGCTCTGCTGGAAGTTCACCCTAAGCTAGGGGTCACAGCTACCCCCAGAGGACGGGTCTGGTTGCTACGGTTACGCCTCATTACAAAAGAAGACGACCCAAGAACCAGAGACGAGCAGGACGCCATCTTGATACCAGTAAATAGTAATAAAACAAACTGGATCCATGTCGGCCGGACAGAAACATCAACGCATCACCAGTTTCCAGGTGTTTCCAGGTGTTTCCAGGTCTTTCCAGGTGTTTCCAGGTCTTTCCAGGTGTTTCCAGGTCTTTCCCATGTATCTGGTGTCTCCGTCAGGAGTTGGTGTAGAGCTCATTATAGTGTTGGTAGGTGTAGGTGCCCTCTGACCCCAGTGTGTCTCCGTCCAGTCCGGCGCCGGCAGCCCACAGTCGCAGCGACCCGCCGATCTTTCTGATGACGAGGTCGGGGAACTGTTCCAGCGGCTGGCCGAGGTCCAGCAGGAGAAATGGATGCTGGAGGAGAAGGTGAGATGCTGCCATGGTTACCGTGGTAACTGCATCGGATAAGCCATTGCCATGGTAACCACGCTGCTCTACCTGGTGCAGGTGAAGCACCTGGAGGTGAGCTGCTCGTCGATGGCCGAGGACATCTGCAGGAAGAGCGCCATCATCGAGACCTACGTGATGGACAGCCGCAGAGGTGAGGACACCAGAACGGGCCGGGTCTCCTTCCCAGTTATGGCCTCCTTCACTGTTACCGTCCAGAATCTTCTGGTCTCATCCTGACCTCTGACCTCTCCTCAGACGTGTCGGGCAGCGCATTGGCAGCTCATGGAGGCTCCCAGGGAGACAGAGGAGGTTTGGGCTCGGTGCTCAGAGACCTGGTGAAACCCGGAGACGAGAACCTGAGGGAGATGAACAAGAAGCTGCAGAACATGCTGGAGGAGCAGCTGACCAAAAACATGCACCTGCAGAAGGTAGCCACGCTAAGCATGCTAAACAAGCTTAGCAAGCTAAACACATTAAGCATGCTAAACTTGCCAAGCATGCTGAACACGCTATGCATGCCAAACATGCTTAGCAACTTAAACACGCCAAGCATTCTTAACATGCTATGCATGCTAAACAAGCTAAGCACACTGAACACGCTATGCATTCTAAATATGCTAAACTCGCAATGCATGTTAAACCCGCTATGCACGCTGAACAAGCTAAGCATGCTAAAATGCTAAAAATGTTTATCAAGCTAAACACACTAAGAATCCTGAACAAGCAAACATACTAAACATGCAGTGCATGCTAAACACTCTGAGCATGATAAACAAGCTTAGCAAGCTACACATGCTTAGCATGCTAAACAAGCTCAGCATGTTAAACAAGCTAAATACGCTAAACAAGCTAAATAAGCATGCTAAACACGCTATGCACACTAAACCCGCTGAACAAGCTAAGCATGCTAACAATGCTAAACAAGTTTATCAAGCCAAAACACACTAAGCATGCTAAACATGCAGTGCACGCTAAACCCACCATGCACGCTAAACAAGCTTAGTATGCTGAACCTATTTAGCATGCTAAACACGCTTAACACTCTGAATATGGTTAGGATGATAAAGCATGTGAAACAGAACATGCAGTTTTCTTTTTTTGTCATAATCAGCAACTCCTACCTGTTATCTGTTGATATGAGATCTTATATTTATCAAATATATATTTGATTTTCTGAAATTGGGTCTCCGATGCTCCGCCTCCAGGACATCGTCCCAACATGGCTCCTCTTTTAACCTTTTTACCAGCGTTGCTCTGAGCAGCAGCTCCTATAATGACCTCAGGTGTTTGCTAAATTTGCTGCTAGTCTCAAGGAGCTGGGTGGGGGAGGAGCTGCGCCTCGAAGGCGGGGTTAGGTCCACCTATGTGTTTCAGCATATGTTAGCATCATGTGCGTATCGCTTCAAACATGCATGAAAAACATCTCAGCAACACTCAGGTTGTTTCTGAGGGAAAAAACATGAAAGCATTACTTGAACATCTAAAATTCGATACAGCTTCATTTATTCATTTTCTGATTTTTTAAAAATTGGTTTGTTTGTTTTGCATAAAATGGTTGAAGGCAAAAGCTGCAGAAAGTGTTCTGGAGTGGAGTGACCTGACGGTTCTGACCCAAACCTCCGTGTCTCCCTGCAGGACCTGGAGCTGCTGTCCCAGGAATTAGTCCGGCTCAGTAAAGAGGGTGGTCCAGACGTTAGTGGCGCCACCGGTTCCGGATGAGACTATAATCTGGATCCGTCCTGCTTGCTTCCTTCCTCCTCACTTGCTGCATTCACAACCTGCTGGGGTCTGTCTACTTTCTGGAGCCGGTGTGGTCTGGGGCCGGAGGACGAGGATCTCTGAAGGTCTCATTTCTTTTGCTGAATGTACTGTAATTAGACTGCACCGCTCACCTCTCTGGGCCCTGGCTATGACCTGGAGAACTCTGTGTTTATCTTACAGCATGCTGACCTCTGACCTCATCAGTTCATGGACTTTGTGGTCACCATGACAACTGAGCACAGACTGACAGCCAATCAGTGAGCTCGCTTTCCGGTTGTTATGGTTACTGTTTTGGTTTCGCTCTCACAATGCTGAACTTTACTAGAAAACGTTCTGAAGACGGAACCGGAGATTCTACCGCATCCGCCCGTCACTACAGCCAAACTGGGCCACCTTGACCTGCAGCAGGAGGTCCGACTGGTTCTGGTTCTGAATGGTTCTGTCTGCTACAATAAACAGAACCACACAGTCCAGATGTTCCTGACCAGGTCACAAAGTATTTGAGTTTAGGTCGGTTCTGGACCTGTTCCAGAATGAGACCAGATTCTGCAGAAGCAAACGGAACCATCTGACTGGTTCTGATCCGAACCAGCAGACAGTGAACCTATCCTGGTCCTGACCGATTTTGGGATCTGTTAAACCGGAACCGGTTCTTTCCTGAAAACAAAAGTTTCTGTTAAGTTTCACACAGAACCAGCTGATGTTCTGACCCAGAGTAGAACGGACCAGCAGGTCGGGCTTCTGCTGTGTGGCAAGTTCTGTAGCGTCTCTGATCCAGAACCGGACCTGCAGCAATTAATCACTAATCAAGGGTTAGACTACTTCCTGGTTTCCCTCCCCGACAGAATCAAAGTTCTGCAGCTGGTTCTGGTTTCAGCTCTCCTCTGGACTGTGTCTACTTCCTGGAAACATTTCCTCTGCTCATGCAGAGTCCGGATCAGTCTACTTTGTGCAGAATTCACGTTTCCATTATGAGTTTGAACTTATGACTTACTGACCATTCGGCTCTGACTACATACTGGACTCTGCTTTCGACTGACGTCTCGGCTCGATTTGGCCGGAGCCGGTTCTTTTCTCGCAGCTTCAGGAAGTTTGAGTTTTATCATCTGAAACATCTAATCTGAACAGGTTTTGTGTGCCGTTTGGATCAGAACCGTGTTTGTACCGTCTGGTTCTGTAAATAATCGCTGTGATTTAAAGAATAAACTATTTATGTCTGATCATCATGACGCTAATTATTGTATCCATGAAGAGAAATAAAATCCTGTGTGGAACCAGCGCCAATTTCAGGAGTCATTTCTTGACCAGAGGTCGTCTTAACGGAATATTTTTCATATTTGACTGGAAAATGTAAAGCCCATCGGTCATTTTACAGGTTATAATTCACAGCCCTGACTGCACATGGACGGACATTGTAGACAGAGTTCATCGCAGAGGCAACTAAAATCAATCAATGAAAAATTATTTCTGAAAATCATCTTTCTGACCGGAGCAGACGGCGTGTTGAAGAGTTATTCCTAAAAAAATACTTTAGTATATTTCAAACTTACTTACATTTGTAAGTACATTTTCAAGTATAAATTGTACTACCAATAAATATATAGAAAGTATACTCAAAGCATCCTTGTACCAATTTGACATTATAACTTGAAACATACTCAAATACAATTGTACCAAAATTGTATTTTTAATTTTAAGAAATATAGTAAATAAAAGTATACTTTTAAGAGAACAAAATATGTATTTTCTCAAGTGTAAATATACACGTACTCAAGTGTATATTTAAAGATATTAAATATCTTTAAAACATATTTTAAACTAGTATTTTTTTTAATTAACTTAAAATTTATTTAATGCTTACTATAACTGATTACTCTCAGTATGTTGTAAATAATATCTCAATGTAATTTAATGCCTTTCAGGTGCCTTAATAATCTTTTACTATTTTGATAAAACTGCAAAGAATAAAAAAAATTTGTCCTTATAGTGGAACTTGATGTAAAGTTTGGATCATAAACTTTGAATAACTTTGTTATTCACAACAAAGTTGTGAATAATGTGTCCAATCCACTTTCAGATGCATCTATAAGTGAACAGCTTTAGCTCCAGTTCACACTCCAGACCAGATGGTGGCGGTATTGCAAACTTCAGATTTTTTAAAAAGCGCCAAAAAAGTAAGAAAATCCAAGAAGATAACAGACGCTGTTCAAATTTGCCATTTTTACTTACATAATATTGAGTTAAAAGTAGAGACGGCCTGATAATAGTTAGTAGCTTAGGTAAATTCAAGCTGGTGACGTCCTAGTCCAAGTTAGACGACAACAACAGGAACAGAACCGATGGAAATGAAATGTGGGTCACGAAAGGAGCTAAAAGGACACAGGATGCTAACGTGTTGCTAGCTGGTGGTAAGTTCGCTTCAAAATGCTAATTATCTTTGTTTAATTATAAACAGTGTGGGAAAGATAAAAACAAACTAACAGAAAATTATTATTTGTTGAATTTTATTGTGACTTTTCTGATTATTACTAAACAATCATTCAGCTTCATGTTCTGTTTGTTGCAACGTCATACAGTTTTCTTCACAACCTGGTTTTAATGAAGCTCATTATTCCAGAGACTTTGATATTGTGAAGCTGTTATTATAACTCCTTCATCATTGATTTTATCATTAACATATTCTTGCAGATTAAGATGAAAGATGAAGCCAGAGATCAGAAATAAGAAAACCTAAATCCTTTCTTGTCTCAGAGGCTCTAGCTCCACCGGATCATCAACCGGATCATCAACTGGATCACCAACCAGATCACCAACCAGCTCCGAGGATGAAGCTCCACATCGTCTTCATGATGAAGGAGTTCTATTTACTGAGCAGCTGGCCACAGTTTACCAGCAGAATCTGGTGAGTTTCTGACACTAAGGGCTTAATAAACATCATTTAATTTTAAAATAACTGGACAGAATTGATTCCCCTTGTTAATCCACTGTTTGTGTTTCATAGAGTTTATTCATCGTAATCTTTCAGGGCCCGTTTTGGACCGGTGACCCGTCCAGGATGAACCCGCCTGTCATCTGTTGGCTGATGGAGACGGGCCCCACCTTGCTGATCGATGCTGATCGATGCTGATCGATGCTGATCGATGCTGATTCTGGACGGTGTTTGTGGTGTTCCCCAGGGCTCAGTATCAGGACTAAAGTTGTTTATCTTATACATAAATGATATGTTAGGTTTCCCAAAACAATTTTGTTTTATTTGCAGATAATACAAACATTTTAGTACAGGTGAAAATTTACAGCAGCTTTTGATGGAAATGAATTTAGAGTAATTTAAATTCAAAAAGTGGTTTGATATTAACAAATTATCATTAAATTTAGGTAAAACCAAATTTATGTTATTTGGGAATCTTAAAAGGCGAAGAGATTTACTAATAATATAACTGGAGAAGGGACTGACATTCAGTTTTTGGGAATATTGATTCATAATAAGATCTGTTGGAAAATCCTTATTAAATATGTTGAATGTAAAATAGTTACAAGTATTGCAGTTATCTCTAATGCTGGAACATTTCTGCTCCTTCAGGTTCTCCACTCATCAATTATTTTGCCGTATTCAAGTTACTGTTTGTTGCAACACTTATCCAGCTTCACTTCAACCATGATGCACATTACAGATCAGAGCCATTCCAGTAATTGATTTTTATTGTCATACCAACAATTTATTTATAGATTCTTACCTCCTGAAACTCCCAGATTTGGTAGCGTTTCAAACTTTTATGCATAAAGTTAGAAACAAACTACGACCAGAAAATGATTTAGAGATGGTGGGAATACGGCTGCAGAGAAAAGCTCAGCTGCACAACTTTGAACGTTCAAACAAAGGAAAGATCTGGAATAAAGTCACTAAACAGCTGAAACAAAGTGCAAGCATGAGGCTTTTTAAGAAAAGAATCAAAATAGTTATTATTCAAAAGTATCAGGATGAACAGGGATTATGAATTTAACTGGGAATAACGACACTATGGATGACTGGGTGCAGCATGTTGTATGTAAATGAGTGTGAATATATTATTATGTAAATATGCAGGTAGATGATATATACATATAAATGTATGTAATACTTGCATCTGGTTCAGGAAATATTATTTCAGATTTATTATTACTGTTTTTTGTTTTGTGTTTTTTAAAGGATACTGGAAACAGGAGGATTATTTATGCTATGAATTAATGAATGGATTGTATGATTATATAAGTAAAACTTCATCCTTTTCAGACTCAAAGTCACAGAATAAGTGATATTTGCATGGACTTAAGTTTGTAAATTTGACAATAAGGTATTTACACTTAGAAACATGAAAGTCTTTATTATGATGTTTTGTTTTTCTGGTGAAAAGTCTGAAATAAATGATCATCAAATCAAAATCCAACCTGGATGTGTGCTCAGGGATCCAGTGGATCGGAGGTCAGGGACCCAGTGGATCGGAGGTCAGGGACCCAGTGGATCGGAGGTCAGGGACCCAGTGGATCGGAGGTCAGGGACCCAGTGGATCGGAGGTCAGGGATCCAGTGGATCGGAGGTCAGGGATCCAGTGGATCGGAGGTCAGGGACCCAGTGGATCGGAGGTCAGGGATCCAGTGGATCGGAGGTCAGGGACCCAGTGGATCGGAGGTCAGGGACCCAGTGGATCGGAGGTCAGGGACCCAGTGGATCGGAGGTCAGGGACCCAGTGGATCGGAGGTCAGGGACCCAGTGGATCGGAGGTCAGGGATCCAGTGGATCGGAGGTCAGGGACCAGTGGATCGGAGGTCAGGGACCCAGTGGATCGGAGGTCAGGGACCCAGTGGATCGGAGGTCAGGGATCCAGTGGATCGGAGGTCAGGGACCAGTGGATCGGAGGTCAGGGACCCAGTGGATCGGAGGTCAGGGACCCAGTGGATCGGAGGTCAGGGACCCAGTGGATCGGAGGTCAGGGACCAGTGGATCGGAGGTCAGGGACCCAGTGGATCGGAGGTCAGGGATCCAGTGGATCGGAGGTCAGGGACCCAGTGGATCGGAGGTCAGGGATCCAGTGGATCGGAGGTCAGGGACCCAGTGGATCGGAGGTCAGGGACCCAGTGGATCGGAGGTCATGTGACTTGCTGTGGCCAAATGAGCTGCTGCTTTACGTTGATGCTGGTGGGAAAATGACGCAATCAAGCAAAGACTCTGAGAAGTTTTGATATTGTCAAGATAATCAGCCCAAGGGTCACAGTTCACAGGTCAGTAAGAAGCTTTAATGAAATATTTCAAGAAAGTGGAGAGTGTGTTGCTGAAGCAGCTTTTATCCCGACATGTTGCTGCACGGATCATTTGTGCAGGTGTTTCAGTAACTCATGTTCAAAATGATGCAAAAAGGACATTCAAAAACATAAATGTGCATCGGACAGAACGTTCTGTTTCACTGTTAATTCCTGATCAACTCATCTTTGCTCTCCTTGGGCTGTTTATTGGTTCCCATGCAACGTGTGACATTAATAATAAATCAGCCGTTTTTCTACATTTTTTCCAGGACAAATTTTATAATTTTTCATAGAACATGGCAATATTCAGAGCAATAATCAAATAGGAGGAAATATTTCATAAAGCATAAATCCATTTTAAATCATGGATCCTATGAAGTAAAATGAAAATATGGACCATAAAGAGAAATTTGCTTTGTTCTCTGACAGAAACCAAACTATCGACTTAAATGCAGAGAGAAAATATATTTTACATTTCTAAATGTCAGCATCTTTAATCCACATTTGATAGAATGAGTAATATTAATGGTGACTGTGCTCAACCAAACCCAAAAAGGGTTTTGCAGCTTTAATATTTGCTGCATTAAGACAATCATAAGTCCAGGTCTGGTCTGTGGGATTCAGCAGGACTGAAGGTTTTACCACCAAGTTCACTTTGATTCATTTGGCTTCACAGAAGTGACTTTAAAAATGTTTCAGAACATTTTGATGCAGAATCTCATGCTAGATCAAATCAGACAATAAAAGGAAAATATGTGATCATTCTTCACAAAAATATTCCTGAATTATGT